GAGGGCAACTCCGTACGGACAGATTTCCCGATCACATCACTATGTTTAAAAGAGGACGAACCAGCAACAACGTCAATGTCCCTCACTAGGAAGGTGGCGACCTAAGTGTAGTAGTACAGCAAACATTTATTTTAGGTGTGCGGGGTGCCAGGCACGATGCTCGGATCGTCACGTGCAGTCTGTCATCCTGTTCTCTCCCAGTTACAGGGAGCTACTGTGACGACGGCAGGTTTGCAGATGAGTCAACGGAGGCTTGGTGACGTGAGGGGAATTATCTAGAGTTCCCGGGTTGTGGTGGAGGGAGGACCAGAAGCAGGTAGCCTAACTCCAGAAACTGAATTTTTGCCACACTGTATCATCCCTCTCGATACGTGTGTGCGCACACAGGCACGGTGATGGAATACTGCACGTCTATTTTAAATATTAGTTGTCTGCACGTCTATTTTAAATATTAGTCGTCTCTTGCTAATAATTTTAAATGCCATTTTCATAATGCCATAATATCATGGAAGATGTGTGTTATAAAACTGAGTTAAAAAGAGGACATGAAACTGTCTGAGTACAACTTCTTAACATATTTAATCTATGTATTTAGAAAAGGAAAAGGAAACACATTAATGTATTAACAGTGACTGGATTTGGGTGGATGGACATTTTCTCCCTCCACATTGAATGTTCTAGCTTGTGTACATTTTCAACGACTGGTCACCATTAATAGATCGTCAGGATGAGCTCAGTGGCTTTATATTTGCAAGCCTTCAGGTAAGCTCACCTCTTACCTCAATGCGGCCTCCATGCTTCCTGTCACATGTCCCAAAGGAAGATGCCAGAGGCCTCCAGCCCCCTGCACAGTATACGGGCGCAGTCCCTCACAGCCCATCACCTCCACCCAGGAAGTGGTCGGGCCGTTCTGGGGTAAGGCCACAAACCATGGACAATCCCACATGCCTGGCCCGAGGCTACCTGGAAATGCCCATCTCAGCACAATCACCCTGCAGAGCAGACCTGACCCAGGACCGAGACCACAAGTTCGCAGCCAGGACCAGCCCCACACTACCTGCCCACGCACTGCTTTGGGCTTCACGGTGTGCATCTGCTTTTGTTCTTAATTAAATTATCTGACAATTTCCAATCCCGGCCATGTGGCAAACGTGAGCTGGAACGGAGTCGAAGGCACCCCTCGGACAGGATGTGGGCTTGCCACAGTCCCCACCACTCCCTATTACTCCCCTGCACCAGAGTGGACACGGGCCGGAGCTGCTGCTTTTGTAACAGCAGAGTGATAGGGAAAGTGAAAGACGTTCTGTGTCCAGTTTCGATCAAAAGAGGAAAAATGAAACATGGGTTAGCAAGGCTGTGGGTGTCAAGATAAATGGAAGAGGGTACCTTTTCCAGGCACCTCTGCTCACTTATGTTACCTCCCTGGTCCCAGTGAGTCTTTGAGATTCCGTCTCTGGCCTAGAGGGTCTCTGAGGGACAAGTAGAAGGAAACCGCATCCTCCTCCCTTCCTGGGGAGATTCCTGGCAGAAAGCACTGCCTGCCTGCCCTGCTCCAGCCCCAGTAGCGATCCTGCCCAGCCACCAAGGACCTTCCCGCAAGCAGCTGGGGTGGGAGGTGAGGAACGGCGGGCCAGGCAGAGAGGGGCTGCCCAAAGCCACGGAATTCAGACCCATCCCTGGGAATCCATGAGCTGTGCCCATTACTTGAGCAATGTTATTTTGGAGACATGCTCCCAGCCCGCTTCCTCCCTCAAGTTTGAAGCTGGATTTGTGATGAGTCTGTGCAAAGGCCCAGGTGTTATCAAAGCTGCTGTCTTCTCAGCTTCCACAAAATCCCAGGGCAGAAACAGCAACAGAGCATCAGTGGGCCCTGAGTCAGAATGCCTGGGGCTGCATCCCAGCTCCACCTCCTACTAGGAGAGTGACCCAAGGCCAGCTACAGAAGCTGCTGAGGCCTCAGGCTCCCCTTTGTTAACCTCTAGGAATTGGGTTGATGGAAAGATAAAACACTTGCAGAGCTCTTAGCCTAGGGCCTGGCGCAGGAGAAGGGCTCAGTAAATACTGGTTACTCTGCCCCCGCCCCCCCTGCTGGGACCTGGCTTCGCCCAGATCAGAGGCTTGAGGAGCACGGCTCAGACAGACCCTCCAATCTCGGTTTCTACCCTGCCTGCACTTGCTCAGGTAAGCTGCCTGTCTCCTTTGTCTCTGCACTGCCTGCTAAGCCCCCAGGCCCAGGTGCTAATGACCTGGAACTTTGCAGGGCTCAGAAACATTGGCCTCCAGGAACCTCCCTTGGCTTCTCATCGAGAGCCTTCTCGGGGTTCACACAAGGCCAGTTTCCTGGCACACTGAAAAGGACAGAGTAAACACATGCTCACTTTCTGTCGCTGCCTCAAGGGATCAACTAAAGCGAACAGGTTTCCTTCTGGCACAACAATGAGCTGACAACCTCAAGCCGCGGAGAGCTACACCTCGGGCTCTCGTGGCCCTGGCGAGCAGGCAGGGATAACCCTCAATGCGTCCCTGACCAGGTGCACAGCCCTGATCTGCACCGATCCCTCTACCCTCCTACTACCTGCCTCAAAGCCCTTCCTGACCCCCAGCCTGTCCTGCTCCCTCCCCACCACCACATTTGGAGTGGCCCAATTCCTGTCTGCTGGAAAGAACATGACAGGAGGAGTAGGATGTAGACTCTTGTTCAGTGCTACGTCCCTAGCTCCTAGCTCTGTGTCTGGAACATAGCAGGTGCATACGTAGCATGTTGGGTAAATGAACAGGGCTAGCAGCCATATGGACCTCACAGTACTATGGTGGGTGTTAAGTGAATGAGGCACACACGGTATCAGGCATACGGTGAGTGTCTTGGCAGCTTTAGCAGCTGCTGATGGGGGCTGCTCCCGTCCCTAAAACTGGCTGCCCCTGCACACCCAGCTTTGGGAACCTTCTTGGGTCTGCCCATTCCTTGACTGCCTCCCATCCTTCCTCCAAGCTCCAGAGGCTTCTCGCCTAGCCTCAGCATCCCTTGTAGTTCAGGCCTTGGCTTGCCGAGTTAGTTACCATTCTAGCACCCTCTGCAGGGAAGGGAGGGGTGGAGGAGGACAGGACAGAGGATGGAATCAATTCATTTGCTTCCAAGTGTCCCAGGTGTTTCTAAGAAAGGCATTTTTCCAGAAACAGCTCCCTGGTGTCCAGGCTGGCTGTGCCTTCCCTCGCCCAATAGAGAAATGCACGCCTCACCCCTCCTCATCCCCTTCCCGGGTCAAAGTGCCCAAGTTGTGAAGGAGGCAGGTCTGCCCCCAGGAGCAGAGGAGACCCATCACTGGTAATTCTGCCAACATCTGGACCCAACGAGTTTGAAGACTTAGGGAGAGAGGTTTCCTCTGCCCCTGTGACTGACACAAGCTGTTCTGAGAGAGCCCAATGCCAACCTGGGGGCCAGGCCTCCTGGTTCTCAATCTGCTCACAATGCCCTTCATTCCTCAACATGTTTGCTTTTGTCTCTGGGACAGGACCAGATCAGCGAGCTTCAAACGCTTCTGTGAGACGCCACCCTTTGCTGAAACTAAACTGTACCAAGGCATGGCTCAGTATGTCAAGTAGATGGAGGTGGGCTCCCCTTGCCCTGTATCTCTCTGAATGGCCCCAAGGAGGGTAGGCTGCAACCCTCAGGATGAGCCAGGCTGCTGTGGTCCTGTATCACCCCACATGCCGACAGTGACCAGGGGCCTGCGGGCACTGAGCCTCTCCCAGGCATGACCCAATTTCTTAGGACAGCTGGTCCCAGGCTCTCCATGGGCCCCAGTGAGGATACCAGCATCATGCTCAGGGGATGTGCAGTCTTGTCCTGGATACCTCCGGGGCGGGGCAAGATGTGCAGACTGAATCAAGGCGCCGGGACTGGGTGCAGGACAGCGGCTGGGCTGGACAATGCTCCCGAGTGCACTATTGGGGCTTTGGCTGTGGAGCCCAGCTGAGCCCAGCCTCTGTGGCAGAGGGCTCACATGCAGGCCATTCAGAAGGCTGCCAGGGAGAGGGGTCTTATCCAGGAGAGCTGTCAGCCCAGATCAGATATCTGGGGTGTCAGGAAGGACCACAAATCCAGCCCTTCCATTATGCAGGAAGGAGACAGTGGCCCGGGCAGGAGCAGAATCTTGCCTGAAGAGACAGAGTGGCATCAGAGCCAAGAACCAAACCTGGAGATACTGAAATCTGTCTAAGACCCGAGCTCATCTTTCCTCGAGAGCTGGTACTTTCTACTCTGCACAGCAAGTGCCTTCCCATTCTTTCCATCCTCCTTTATCCAAAGCACAGCAAAGACACACACATTCCTTTCTCGGGCGGGGGAAGTAACAGACTCGGCAATGGGGCAGGAGGGCTGTCTAGCACACCAAGAAATGAAGCTCAAACCAGAACGTCGAGGAGGGGAAGAGGAGCGACCCCTTCCCCCTGCCGCGGGTGGTGCAGGGGTGAGGCCTCGTGGCGGCACTCCCTGGTGTTGGGGATGGGGACAGGTGTGGCTTTGAGACCTCTGAGTCCCTCAGGGCCCCGGGCCTGATTTAATGTTCTGGGTTGCTCCTCTAAAATTCTTAAATTTTGAACAAGGAATCCCCCGTTTTCCTTCTGTGCTGGACACTGCTAATGATGTTGCTGGTCCTCACCTACCAGTCATTCAGTGCCTGTGTGGCCCTGTCTAAGTGTCTTCACCTCTGGGAGCTTCAGCTTTCTCCTCTGTAAGACGAAAACTGTAACAGCACCTACCTTACAGAACTGTTAGGAAGACAAATTAAGAGAACGTACCCAGAGCTCTAAGCAGGTGCCTGGCACGGAATTGATAATTAATGACAGTGTCTACTATAGATCAAAATGCTAACTGCAGACTCTTACATGACAATGCAGATGCTCTGCTCAACGAAAAGGAGATTAGCAACCACATCCCAGATCTGGCGGACCAGGAAAGGGCCACAGGTGCCCAGACGCCAGGCCCCCTCCCCTACTCTTACCTTCCTGAAATGGCTGTGTTTGCATCTGCAGCCGGATCTTGATGAGGTCCACGGGCGTCCCCAGGCTGACAGAGACCACACCGGCCACCATGCTGGCCAGGAGAAGGTCCGACAGGGTGTGGGACCGGCTGGCCTCGGACTCCCTGGCGTGGTGCTGGCTGAGGAACCTCTGCATGTTACTGAAGACCCCAAACACCACCGAGTTATAGACAGCGATGCTGGCAAGGGGAAAAGACATGCCCTTGAAGAAGCCAAACACCTGTGGGAAAACCAGGGGGCAGGAGCATGAGGGCCCAGGGCTGTCTGCAGGCCAGGCGCCAGGCTCCCCGTGTGGTCCTGGGCACAGACCCTGCCCTCTTGAAGCCTGCAGGCTGGTGAGGTGACACCATGGGAAAAATAAATCATTATGTCAGCGACAAGAATAAAAAAAGGATGCTGAGATGATTGACGGCAGGGACCAGGTGGGTGAGGAGTCGCTCTCCATTCCCGGGCAGGGCATATTCTGGCCCGGGTCAGAACCCGCTTCTATAGGCAGTTTTGTTTCCTGAGTCAGGGTGCCCTGGGCCTGGGACCCATTTTTGCCAGCAGAGTGGCAGCGTTGTTGGGCTGGAAAGATACCAGGCTGCATGGAGCCCTCGTGGGTAGTGGACTTGCAGGGCACCCCATACCCTCCTCATTTGCCACTCAACCAAAAGCATTCTCTAAGGCACTTGCCATGTGCCAGGCCCTGGGGGACAACTGTAAGAACGAAATACTCGCTGCCCTCACTGAACCCACACTCGGGGGAGAGGGGGCAGATAAACTGACAGGTGGTTAAAATTCAATGTGCTAAGTGTGTGGTGAGGGTCTAAGGGAAGGGGAGCTCCCAGAAGAACAGCACCAAGAGGCTTCTTCTACACATAAGCAGAGACCACAGCAGAGGGTGCTGGAGGCTGAGAGGAGAGGGTCCTTTCCACACTGCACTCTCGGGGGAACATCACAGATACTCCTCTGAGATCTGGAATATTCCACAGGCCCTTGGAGGAGTCAGGGCAGCATTCACTTTCAGCCCTGTGCCAAAAATGAAAAAGTACCAGGAAGCTGTTGTCCCAACTGCAGGCTGCACACAAACCTGGGCGTGTGCACCCTATTTGCCAGAGCTAGGACACCTCGCAAACACACACACACACACACACACACACACACGTGCATGCATACCACACATGCACACACACACACCCCACCTCAGGTTCTTCTTCCAAAACAAGCTCCCTCAGATAACGTGGGGACATCACTTAGCCCTGAGGGGCTGTGTCTCCAAGGAATGCCTACAGTCCCCACAAAACGCTCCGGGGTTGGGACTGTGGCTGGCAGGCCCTGTGGACAGTGTGTGCCAAAAAGGAGAATCAATGGCCACCTCTCAGAGAACTGGGGAATCACACATCACCCTGCACAGCTTGAACCAAATTTGCAGTCCATTGTAAAGCAGCCCAGCAAGAGAGTTCGAGCAACGCCCTGACACAAAACACACCTCTGAGGAAAAAGTCCAGGAGCAGGCAGGAGGCTCCTGAACCCCAGGGTAGTCGCTAGGATGGAGGCTGTGGAGACGGTGGTCGACAACGGGGCCACATTTCCAGGGACTCAAGGCAAAGCCCAGGGCTGCTATTGACCATTTCTTTAAATTGTCAAGTCATTTCATCATTAATTAGAAAATGTATTTTAAATTCCCCAAGGCAGGGCCTTAGAAAGTCTTCCGAAAGCACATCCTCATTCTTAAGAAGGGCACCTGATACATCTTCCACAAAATATTACTCAGGTTTTCCTCTTTGGAAAGGAAAACCTTGGGTCCCCTGGTTTTCAGCAACCTGAGGGACAAGCCAGCTCTGGGCATCTGGAATCCCAAGTGCCTGGCTCAAAGCCACCCTGGATGAAGGGAAGCCTGTGAGCGCGCGGTTTACCGGCCTCGACTCTGGCTGTGAAAACTGACAGGTCCCCTTGTTTCTGCAGGAATTTTCCACTCTGTGATTCTAGATTCCTCAGAATTTCTCCAGAGAGGTTCCACAAAATCAGTTTTCCCCCCCAATAACAGTGCACAAGATGGCAGGGTTAAGTTTGGGTGACACACAATATTTGAGGTGTGGTGTGAGATGAGGAGACAGGAGGCAAAACCGAGCCAAGTGTGATGAGCAGGAATGAACAGGCCTCCGGCCTGACGGGCTGGGGTTGGGGCTATGGCCACGGCGCCCAGGCCCCGGGCAGGCTTCGAGCCTTCTGCAGGAGTCCCGGAGGGGTACTGCTCCAGCGCCCATCCCAGAGGCACTTACACTCTCCCTCCTATACACTGTGCGGATGCAGCTGAGGGTGCTTCCGTAGTTGGTGCTGGCCTGCAGGCGAGTCTGCGGAAAGATGCAAGGAGGTGAGGGCCCAGGCCGAGATGATTCACGCCCTCACTGCCCCAGAGATGCTAGGCTTGTGGCACTGAGGCCCAGAGAGGGGAAGGCCCTGCCCAAAGTGACCCAGCCAGTAAGGAGGGCTGGCTTTCTGTCCCCTCCAGGCTGGTGCTCTGTCCTCTGCCCACACTGCCTCCTTCAATGTCCCATTCCGGCCTTGCTGAGTGCGGCAGAAGTCGTCTTGGTCTGAGAGAAGAACAAAAGTCCATTTGTTGTTCAAAAATGATGCTTGTTGGGGGACATGTGACCCCTGCCTCTTGAGTACAAGCACTACTCCGGGGCTCTGCCCCATCTGCTGCCCATCACTCTGCCATCCTAAGGATTCCCTTCGTGGCTCCAGAGCCCCTTCATCTCTCACCTGGACGGTGGGCTGTTTTCGCCACTGGCCTCCTGCTTCCCTCTCAGTCCCTGGCCTGCGTCTACACAACAGTCACACTGATCATTTCTGACAACAGCGAATCGCTATTTACAGCTCACTGGTGGCTTCCCATCAGACTCAGAGTAAACCCCTCACTCTCTACCAGTGTCAAAGAGGCCTGGGTAGACACCGAGCCTGCCTCTCACCCCTGCGTGCCCCTTCCTCCATGGCCCTGCCCTCTGTGCCTACCATGTGGCACATCCCCCAGTCCCTGGCCTCGCCTTCCCCCTCCCCCTCCCTGCCTGAGCTCTCCACTGGCTCTTCCTTCCCCCAGAAGGCTCTTCCTCCAGGTCCTGCTTATCTCTGGGGGCTGAGCTTCAATGTTGCAATGGCGTTATCTCTCTGTCTGTTTACTTTGGATTTATTTGGGCCCCCTCTCTATGACAGGGCTGTCTCATATTTCCTTCTTGTCCCCACGCTGAGCATGGCCCTGGCATATGTCCCCTTTGCACTGGCTAAATGAGGGGCTGGAGGGGAAGACATGTGTCCCCTAATGGAGTCTGGCTCTGGTAACAGACGGCAGACAGCCACAGAGGGTCTGAGGAGCCTCACAAAAGTGCCAGGGCACCCCCCCTGAACCTGGTAAGAAGGAACTCTGAGAACCACAGAAGGGGTGACCGGACCCTACCCCCTCAAACCAGGGTCCCGTGAGGACTAAGACCCAGGGTGCAGACTAACGCGTCATGCCAACAGCCTGAGCTCGTGTGTAGACAAGGAGCGAAGACTCTGGCAGAACACACATCATAAAAGTGTTGGTCTCTGAGGTGAAAATCACGGGCGATGTTTTTCTACACTGAATGGTGTTTCATTTCCAACTTTCCTATGACAGACAGGGGTTACTTTCATTATGTTCAATTTACGTAATTTAAAAATAATTTTAAGTACACAACTAATATGAGAATAAATTTTCTGAATAAAAAAATTCCACATTCTCCCTCCCTGACCCCCAACCCCAAGCTAACCACCTTGGCTAATAGCATGGCTGAGAGCTTCATTGGCATTCATCTCAACAGGGTTAGAGACCCAGATAGCCATGGGAAATCTGTAGCACTCTCACAGGCATGATAGGTAAATGGTATCGTATGTTTTTATAAGTGTTACTTTCATAATCAAAGAAATGTAGCGGTTGACTCATTCAACCTGTATGATTGAAGGCCTGTTTTCCAACAGCCACTGTTCCACTCAGGAGATTCAGCAGTAGAGGAAATCAACTTCCTGGCCTCGTGGAACTTAGAACCAAGTGGGGATGGGGAAAAAAAAAAGAGTCAATAAAAGGCAATTCCCAAGCAAATATTTATGTCTGATGATGACAAGTACCATGGGGAAAAACAGACCCGGGGGTCAGAGTGTGGGCTGCTTGAGGGAAAATGCAGTATTTAATTGTCTGGAGGTGAAGACATGGGGGAAGGCGCAGCGAGATGAGAAGTGGGCTTTCACGGTGGAGCAGACCCACAGAGCTCTACCTTGGGGTGGGGTATCCCCAACCTGGACAAGATTATGGGCGAGGGGATGTGGGCACAGGCCTCCCTCTCTTCCCCCATTTAAGGCTGTCGTGGGGGTGAATGCTCTCTCCACTGGCCCCAGCGCTGACAGGGCTGCCTCTGGGGACTGAATCCACAGGTTGGGGCCCCAAGAAGGATCAAGTTCCACTGAAAAACTCCAATGCCTGAGTCACTCAAGCAAACCGTACATGAGGAAACTCAACCCAGGAGTCAAACCCAGATCACAGAAGAGTTTCAAAACCATGGAGCAACGGCCCCCCAGCCATGCTGAACACTTGAGGAGGCTGCCACGGAGGCCAGCCACATAGCACACGCCTCCAGGGCCTCCTTACAATAGGGGCTGGAATTTAGTGTGTGACAATTGCATTCTTGGGGAAGTACTGGGCCTCTTCCAGAACTTATCTCACAGAATCCCACAAATGCCGCTCGGCCTGGGTACTGTCCCCGTTTTACAGATGGAGAAAGCTGACTTCTTGTATTAGTTGTCCTATAGCTGCTGTAACAAATTACGACAAATTTAGCGGCTTACCACAACGCATCTGTTCTCTTACAGTTCGCTAGCTGGTCTAAAGGCGGCTGAGCCCTGATCAGGAAACCCTGGTCACACTGCAACAGGCATACACCTGAAATGCACCATGTGGGCAGAGAGTCAGGTGAGAATCCGGATCCCAGCTTCACGGCCACCAAGCAGCCAGGGCTGGCTCTCCCACCAGTGATGGGACATCCACGGGCAGGGAAGGAGCCTCTGACCTGGGTTAGCAGCCCAGGTGCTTTTAGCTCGGCTCTTCCCAAGGCAAGGCCTGGGACCTTGGACAAGTCACAAGTCACTCACAACACACAAGCATGTGTGTTCATCAGGGTAGGAATGGCTCACTCATGACTCTGTGCTCAGTGCCACAGGGACGATCTTCACAGCAGCCCTGCCGGGAGGTGCTCTTTACCCATTTTTCAGATGAGAAGAGCAAGGCTTGGGGAAGTAAAGTGCTGCACCCTGGTCACAGGAGAGTAGGTAGGCAGGCTGAGACTGCACTCCAGATTATTCCAACTCTAAAGCTCTTGCCCGGACCTTTGGCAGGTAGGGACTCCAGAGAAAATGTCAGCCAGAAGAAAGGAAGGAAGGAGCATGTTTTGGGGAGTAATGAGGGCCCTGAGCCACATCCCTGGGCTGGGCCCAGGCCAGCCATGAAGGCTGGCATCACCAGGCTGGTACCCTGAGCGAGGAATTTCTCAGGCTGGGCAGACACTGGATTTGATGCATCAGGAAGGGCTCTCTCAGAGGCTCAAGGGGCAGAGTGGACAGAAGGAGGAGCACTCCAGCCTTTTCAGGCGGCTAGACTTGCCTGTGCAGGGAGGGGGCACCTCCAACAAGCTCTACCAGCCCCTGGCCAAGCTGGGGGTAAGGGAAGGATGTTCTAACCAGGGAGACACAGAGGTTGCCTGTGCTGGGAATATAGCTGGAAGGCCCACAGGGGCAGGGATTGGATTTGCTTTGTCTACTACTGATGCCTTGCTATCCCCATACCGTCTACACACAGAAAGTGTCCGGTATGCATTTGATGTATGAGCAAAAGGCAGGGCCCATATGGGGGACACAAAGAGCCAGGAAAGATCTTAAGCTATTTAAGACAAATAGGCTGATCCCCCATCAAGAAGAAAGCAGGCCTCGTCTCTGCCCTAGGAGGGGCCCACTGTCATACAGGGAAGAAGGCGGGGGGGGGGGGGGGGGGGGGGGAAGTGACTGTAGCAGCCACTTGGGAAAAGCCTGAGCGGTTCCTCTTAGTGCACGATCCAGGCAAAGCTTTAGATAGAAATGTGCAAGTCAGGGGTGAGAAGGCACTATTTGGGACCAGCTGTGCTCCCAGGTATGGCTCTGTAGTCCTGCTCACTCCTGGGAACAGGGGGCGGGGATGGGCGTGGAGTCAAAGAATGTCCTTTCGCAGAGCTCCTCACTCCCTCACTCCTCAATGCTTTAACACCTGGCATGACCTCAGGCAAGCCCTTTCCCCTTCCTGGGCCAGTTTCTCCATCTGTAGAACAAGGGGCGTGGATGATCCCCCCGCCAGATGGCCCTGTTGAGTCCTCATACCTCCTGCGCTTCCCAGAGTTATAATGGCTTCCCATTCCCAACCCAAGTCCGCAGTCCTAATCTGATAGTGAAGGCCTCCCAGGGTTGAGTGCTGACCCACCTTTCCTGGATTCTGCTCTATAGCTGCTTTCAGAAACCTAATGCATCAGCCAAACCGGCCACGCTGGCTTTTCCCAAGCATGACCCCCACACAGCGTCCCCACCTTGGTGCCTTAGCTCTTGCTGCTCTCTGAGCCTGGAACATCTTTTCTCATCACCTGAAACCCAACCTTAAATTCTGGACTCAGATGCCACCTCACGCCGGAAGCCGTTCCCGGTTCCTCAGTTGCTGAGACTGGCAGGGGATCCGTTCCATTGCCTGGCCCTCCCCCACAGCCCCTGAGAACCTGGAGGCAGAAATGCGGCATTCACAAAAACAAACTCGCTGCCAAGTAACGAGAGGAGAGGGATGATTCCAAACCAGTCCTCCGGGCCCGCACCCTCCGGGGTTGGCACAGAACCTCGGCCCTGGGCTGGAGACTGTCTTGGGATCAGAAACAGCAGACATATTGCTGGAGGCAGACTCACTCCAGGCTGCTTTCCAAGAAGTAATGGCAAACATGGCCGCAGTACCTTGACCGTGTCTAGAGGGTGGCCGACGATGATGCTCGCTGCACCTGTTGATCAAAGAAGAAGACCTGGTCACTGAGTCCCTGGATTCCTCACATGCACCGGCTGGCTCCTGGGATAAGACAGACGGCTCAGGCACTCACATCCCTCGTTCAGTCAATGCCCAGTTCCCAGAGCCCTCCCACCCCCCAGCAATGTGCTAGGCACCAGCCCAGGCACTGGGGAAGGCATAGAAAATGAAGTAAAACGTGGGCTCTGCCTCTAGAAACAGGCACCCCCAAAAAAGGACAGTGAAGGTGCTGGGACAACTGGGTATCCACATGCCTAAGAATGAAGTTAGACCCCTTACCTCATATCATATACAAAAATGAACTCAAAATTGACCAAAGACCTTAATGGAAACACTGAAACTATAAAAATCATTTACTAAAACACAGGGGAAAACTTCTTGATCCTAGAATGGCAAGAGATCCTTAGATATGAAACCAAAAGCACAAGTCACAAAAGAAAAAATAAACTGTGTGTCATACCAATTAAAAACCTGTGTGCACTCTGGAAAACTGTATGGAGGTTCCTCAAAAAGTTGAAAATAGAGCTACCATATGATCCAGCAATTGCACTACT